TTTGAAATAATTATTATTTCTTTTGAAAACGACGACTTCGAGGTATTAGCAAAAGTAAACAGCCTTGTCACAGTGCCCTCGAATAAACTTAGATGGTAGTTTGGTGGCGTTTGCAAAACTGTCATCGTCGTCGATTGGGGGGGCAACAAAATAAAAGACAACAGCTAAATGGCAAAAAAGCAAAGCAGCAACAATTTCAACAGTTAATAATAGATTCTAAACGCGTTCGCAAAATAAAGACAGCCAAACAAGTGCAAATACACTACACACAATGGTGTAGAGTTAAAAACTAGCAACGGCATTTGTTTGTTTTTTATTTTATTTTTTCATTTTTTTTTAATAACAGAAAACCAGTTGCTCACCACCAATGCTAAATAAAACAGCCAACAAAACAGTAAACTGGCTTATGAAGCTAATTAATACGTTTAATAAATTCTAAAAACAAAACACAACACAACAGACCCACCACCAGTACGACGACGACAACAACAGTCGTCAGTGAGTGTCTAAAGAACAGCTTAAAATTAAGCACAAAACCACATTTTGTTTTAAGTACATGGCCGCATTAAACAGATTTTAAGAAAGTTTCGGAAATACAAATACACATTCAGCAAATTTATTTTTATAAATAAAGAAGACAGAGTCGTAGTCGTTTCCGAAAGGCAAAACTTAAAAGCGAAAGTTTTAAGAATAAATCAGTGAGCAAGTGCACTTCTTCTTAGCACATTGACCCAATAAAAACGACATTTTTTGGGTGATAATCGTTGTTATTTGAGATAACTGTCAAGTTTGCATGAACAATTTTGTGTAAGTTTTCCGTTTCTTAGAAATATTTACTTTTCCATCAGCGCATTGGGAAAATATTTTGAAGACAAACAAATTTTAAATTATGAGATAACAGCAGAATGGTTTCATTTTTTCGCAGAAATATATAACCGAAAAACAGAGGAGGAAGTGTATGGGGTTATTTTTAAAACAATAATATTGGACATTTTTATTATAAGAAAACAAAAACAGCTGAGAGAGAAGCCGACGATCAGAAATGAAATAAAATTAAATATTTGTTTTAATGGGAAAATAACAAAAAAAAAAAAAGATCTTTGTCAGTTGTAAGAGATTGTTGCAGCATTATAAAGTTAAATCTGACCAAAAATTTCATTAAATTAGAAAAAAAAAATTAAAAAGCTGTTTTTCTTGAAATCTAGTACCCTAATATACCCTTTTTATTGATTTATCTCTTTATTTAAAAATGGTTTTTACCTTGTGAGAATTCTAAACCTAAAATCAAAACAAGGAAAAACGTCGGTTCAAACTTAGTATACCCTTCAACACAAGGTGGACATTCGGGTCTTCCAGATACTAATATAGGGCTAGGACTTTGAACATACCGAAAATGACGCGTGACGGTTAAACAAGATGTCTGAAATCCTCATAATAGCGAATATCGATATTACCGTTATATAAAGGCTATATAATTTCATTTTTTTAAAGAGGGTTTCTACTATTTGAAAATTCTAAACCTAAATTAAAAACAAGGAAAAATGTCGGTCCAAACTTTGTGAACCCTTTACCATGAGGTTGTGAAATTGTGTATTCCAGGAGAACACGAAATACCGAACTGCTGACACTCAGCTAGGATATGTCTGAAATCCTCATGATGGCGAATATTATTGGCAGTGTTATATGAGGTTTATATCAAAAGAGTATGCGAAAATGATAATTTTTGGTAGAAAGATTTGATTTTCAATGACAATCCAAATGAAAATCGAAACCCAATCTAAAAAGTTAACAAACATCGATATTTCTTGGAAATATATGACTACAGCGAAATTAGTTGAAAACATGACTAAAATCCCGAGTAATTGGGATTACCGTTATATGGGGGGAGAACCGATGAGAACCGAAAATACCAATATACAGCAAATTTGGTTCCAAAACGCCCCCAACATCCGCAAAATACAGAATACCGTTATATTGGGGATATACCAAAACTTGGACTCATATATCCCATTTGCAATACCAATCATCCTAGATTACTAGCAATGATCGGGCAGAGCTCTAACTTTAATAGGGCGAACTTTGTCGTGATTCCGGTGGAAAAAAATATTTTTTTGTAATCAAAAATATGTTTACTTTTTTGGGTCTTCGACGATTATTTTGATGTGTTGCAAACAGAATGACTAATATAATATAAACTCCAAAATATGGGGAAATATTTATTTTAAATACTACGAGTAATATCACAATTTCAATAGACATATCGAGCCATATTCGCCGAAAAACGTAACCCTCAAATTTGAAATTTTACATGAGAACTTTTTTTAATAGTTTCTTGAGAAACAGTGGAAGGAGAATCAGAAAAATTTTAGATCTTTACCTAAAATCGCCTTTTCAAATTAAAATGCTATCATCACGGTGACCTTATTTTGGGTACATAGGACCTCATCGATGTTGCTTAGCTATTTCGGATCAAAAACTTGTTTTTATACCCTCAGCCTTATGGCTAATGAAATATATACACTTTGATACGACAAATATTGGTTTTATATCCCATGTTTCATTGGACCAAATACGTTTCAGACAAATTAGGGATCGATTTACAAATGTCTGTCTGTCTGTTTGGCGGCTGGTGCGCGCGATATCTTAACCAATTTCCTTCAAACTTTGAACATCGTAATATTTCTTCCAAACTTCCTGGTACCTCCCCAACATATGGTCAAAATTTTCAATATTTATAAATTCAATATTAGGCGAATGGAATGTCAGCTTTGAACCAAACTTTCCACAACTATTATCTTTATCAAGCCTAGATCAAGTCCGGACCCCGACCCACTCATCACCAAAAATGTGTTCACAGCCAAAACACCATACACAATTTCGTATCCCTGAGTCTATATTTGCGACGTGTAGTTTAATTACATGCTACACTGGACAGACGGACGGATTCACATAGCAAGGTCGATTCAGCTAGGAAAATAAAATTATATTCTAATTGGTCAACAAACTACTCTTGGATATACTATCAACTTCTCGGATCTATGTCCTTCAGGAGTGAATGTGTACGCTAAAGAAATTTTGCCAAATTTTACAATTTTTCACACAAAAGTCTGGGTCCATTTAAAAAGCAAAATATTTGCCAATCTTCATCAAAACTGGTATGCTAATTTTTTGGTCAGACCCTTTCTGTGTGTAAAATTTTGTGATGATCGAACAGAAACTAGAAAAACAGACAAAAAATTTTTTTGGTCCCTTTCGTCCCCTAAATATTAACCAATCATTACCAAAAACAAGATGGGGTCTTCTTTGGCCAAAACCGGTCGTACATGCAAAATTTCGTGACCGTTGATTCATATCTGTGGTTGGTATCGAGGTTACAAATTATAATGGACAGACGGACGGACACATATGTCTAAATCGACTTATTTAGTCCAGATATACTTAAAGGTGTTTCTAGGAACAATATTTCGTGACGTTACAAAATGTTGGGCCACACAAAGGTATAATACCCTGACAATATATTTGTTTGAGGGTACAATTACGCTTTATACTGCAGCGTCGTTTTTCAAGAAGATAAAAACGATCTAGAAGTCCTACTTTATACCTCATAAAAAGAAAATGTACACAACCTAGACAGGGTATATAAATATATATGTATTTAATCAAGTATATACTAGAATCTCGATAGCAATCTCGATTTCACCAGAACTTTGAAGCAAAAGATATCCTAATAGCCAAGGTAACCGAAAATGTCATCTTAATTCAACATTGATCAACAGATTTATCCCTTCCCTACACACATTTTTTTCAATTTTTGGAGTGAAAATGTCCTAAAAAAAAATCCATTACTTTCCCCATTTTATCGTATACAACGTGTAACATGGACAACATGCTAAATTCCAAAGCCATGACATGAATATACACATTAAAGAAATGTCTGTTTTTTTAGCAATCAACGAAAAATAACAAAAAATAATAAATTATTATTAAATATTAAAACATATGTACAACAACAGCAAAAAAGTGCAAATAATTAGTATATGACAGGTGTATAGGTATATACACAAATGTATATGCATAGCAGAAAGATGACAGGTGAAGATTGTGGTGTGAAAAGATAATAATGATCCATGACCAAGAGGGAATCAAAATAAAAATGTACAAGAGGAAAATCAAAGTCCAAAAAAACTTACCATATATAGTTAGTTGTTCGTATTAACAATGATGGCTGGTGTTGTTGTTGTTGTGGTTGTTATTTATTTCTTGTTGTCTTTAATGCAGTTTAATAGATGTGATTGTGATTTCGTGGGTTATATGTTATCCAACGTTGAAGGTTTATGATTTGTGTTTTATTATTTTTTATTCACTTATTACTGACAGATTATGTCCCGGAATATGTTGGTGTTATTTTAATAGTTTTATTTATAGGGAGAGTTTCTTTGTAATTAGCTGTAGGCTCAGTTCAGGGATCACGCTCTAATACACTTTTGCTTATAACTTTAAACACCAATTATCTTCTCTTTCTCTCTCGGTTTTGTTTTTTTTTTATGGAAATTTCAATTTGTCGTTTTATTTTCCTTTGTGATATATCACAACTCTCCATACTCTTCTTTTTTTGTTTTCTTTCACTCATTATTCTTCACACTTTCTCTTGATCCCATCAAAATAAATAAGTTTTGTTTTTTCTTTTGTTTTTTGTTTTCGAAAAGAACAGAACACGACGTGTATTATTTTGTTTTTGTTAACACTACGTAACGTAAACGTAGTAGCAAACATTATGATTGTTGATTGATACGAAGACCACGGTTATTTATGGTGACAACGAATGTGATTGAATTTAGTTTTTTATGTTTTATTTCTAGATTAACGTCTTTAATTAGTTTATGATTGTTGGTTTTTGTTTTTAGTTGTAGTTTTACTTTATAACTTTTTTTCATGTTGTTTGGTTTGGTATTTTATCTTCTTGTTGTAGTGTTTTTGTTTTGTTTTTTGTTAATAATATTATAATTTACAAAAGTACGACGAACCATTTGATGTACCGCCACATTTTCTTTAGGTACCCACCACTAACCCACACAACAACCAGTGATGAGAAATATGATGATTGGCGACGGCGACAGCGGCGTCTGGGAGCTGGAGCATTTTTGCTGCGACAACGTCGACAGGACGACGCATACATATTACAAAAAAGAAAAGATGTATGTGTTTGTTTGTGTGTGTAAAGGGTAAATATCTTGTTGTTGTTGTTTGAATACAATTAGAATTCAGCAAACTCCTTGGCGCACTTTTCGGTGCTTGAGATCCGCAGCGCCTCCTCCTCATAGTCGTCAAAGTTACTAGTGTCACCGGGTCCCTTACACCGTGGCACAAATGGAGCCTCAATTTTCTTCTGGAAGATCGCAATCCAATCTGTCGAAGCGAACCATTTCTGATTTTTGATGTCATTCACACCCGCCTTCAGATTGCCATAGCGTTTGGTTAAATCGACCTGCAACAGGTTGCGCAGCAGATCTTTCAGATCCGAACCAAAGTGTGAGGGGAAACGTACTTTGCCCGATACAATTTTCTCGTAGATCTGTATGGGCTGGTCGGCAAAGAAGGGTGGATAACCGGCGGCCATTTCATAGACAAGTACACCGAGTGCCCACCAATCCACAGCTTTGTTGTAGCCCTTGGAGAGAATAATCTCGGGGGCGAGGTATTCAGGGGTACCGCACAATGTCCAGGTGCGGCCTTTGACACGTTTGGCAAAACCGAAATCAGTTACCTTGAGGTAGCCCTGTGAGTCGATCAGCAGGTTTTCTGGCTTCAAATCACGATAGATTAGATCAAGATAATGCAAATACTCGAAGGCGAGTACAATTTGCGCAGCATAGAAGCGCGAGTGGGGCTCCGAGAAACGGCCAACCTTACGTAGATGCGAAAACATTTCACCGCCCGGTACATACTCGAGTACCATGTACAAGTTGGAGTTGTCTTTGAAGTGATAGCGCAACGACACCAAGAATGGAAATGAGATGGCCTGTAGGATGCGCTTCTCGTTGAGCGTGTGCTCGACCTGTTTTAGTTTGACAACCTTCTGCTTGTCCAGAATCTTCATGGCATAGTAGTCTTTTGTCGGCTTGTGTTGTACTATCATGACCCGGCCAAAGGAGCCGGTGCCCAGGGTTTTGATGCGTTCAAAGTCTTCAAGAGAGGCGGTGTTGGTTGGATTGCGGCGCCATTTGTCCTCGAACTCTTCTTTGGCCTGTTCGAGGAACTCTTTGACGGTTTCGGCAGCATCCACTTTTTTATTGGAAGTGGTGGCGTTATTTCCCATTTTCGAGATGGTACCTGTTAACGAAGAGAGACGGAAGGTCGCTGTGGTCGATACCGATGATGATGATCCGGCAGCGTCTGTTGTATCGCCCGCGGTAGCGGTTGTTGCCTGCGTGGTAGGCGGCGACGATATGGTAGACTGGGCACCTGTGGGTGGTGTTATTTTGGCGGCTTTTTGCGCCGATGGGTCTGCCGATGTGTTGGTGGTGTTCGCCTGGGGCCGTGCAGCAGCTGTGTCCAATTTAGTCGCGGTCGTCAACGGTGACGGCGACGACTTGCTAGACGACGCGCCGGGACTGCTTGGCTCAAGCTGTTTGCTCAACTGTGCGGACTCCTGCTGCTGTAGGGATTTGTTGTCCTCACTGCCGCTGCCAGAAGACTGAGGAGTCTTTTTCTTTTTTAAAAAGCTTAAAATATGTTTCGCAATTTTGAAAAATTTTCAACAAACTGGTGTCGACAAAATACTGGACTACTGGCTGTCACACTGGCACACGTTAAAGATGATCACCACTTTTCTAGTATTCCACTTTGCAGGCTGTGTATGATTGTACTAGAGATGAAGACGAAAAAACTGCCGCCGTTGTTGTTGTGTCTACACGAATTGTTGATTTCTCTTTTAGAAGAAAATTTATCACTGTTTTAATTCGTTTCAAATCTTTTATTGTGATTTGTATTTACTTTTTTCCTTGTTTAGTGTAGTTTTAATTAATTAATTAATTGTTGTTACACTTCATTTAATTTTTTTGTGTTGTGGGCTTGGATTGCTCGTTTCATCTGAAAAAAGTAGCGGGAAAATGCCAATAAAACACACGATGATTACCACTGAGTATCAATAAGAGAGATGACACGACAAACGAACGAACACAACGAACACTCTCAAGCTCTTTTTTGCTTTTTTGCTAAACTTTGACGTTTTAATTTAGAAGTGTCAAGTGTTTGATTTCAATTTGAAAATGGTTAGTTGTTGTTCTCTTGTTCTCATTGGCAAACAGCACTCATATCTCGCGAATGACATACACACACATACACAATCAAATACAGTTGATTTTATTTTATCAAATGAACAAAACAATAAATGCCGAGATAAAAAGATAATGCTGTCGGATTTACAGTACCCCATTTGTAAAGGGGGGATAGAAAATTGAGGGACTCGGAAAAATTTAGTCAGAGTTGCCGTAATTTTACACGGAAAGAAATTCTATTAATTTTTCATAAATTTCATTGGCCTCAATATGTGACTTGAACTATTTATGGAAGTTCTCAAATTGTTGCAAAAAATATTTACATTTTTCCCCCTTTTGCCAATTTTAATTTGCTTCACACCCTTTCATTTAAAATTTAATTTATTGTAATTGCCTTTTACAAAAACAAAAAAAAACTAGAATCGTTAAAATGTAAATTACAGGTGATTTACAGCTGTTACAGAAGTGTGGCAATACTATTGAACACAACGTATTGCAAACACACACTCAAATACACTTTCATGTTGTATACTCTTTTTTCTATAATCGCAATAACTATACATTTTTATACTCTCTGCTTTGCTGTTATTATTCCCTCTAACACCTCTTCTTTTGCAAGTAGTGATCTATGTATGTAACAGACAATAACAGCTGATCTCGTAGAGGGGGATACAACAGTCTCTTCTTCTTCCTCTTTTATGTTTGACAATTACGACATTGTGTATTCTTCCTATTTGAGGAAATTTTCTTATTGGAATTTATTGTAAATTATTATTATTATGATGCACCCCATCACTTTGGCAATTCTCGAATTCTCGGATTTCGTAATATGCGACAACACCACACAACAAACACACACACTACATACAGACATTGCGCCTCAACAAACACTTGTTTGTCCAATTTTTCTCTTTTAATACACTTTTTATTGTTACTGCCTATTTTTCGTTTTCTTTGTATCGGTATGTTTTCACAATATTTTCACTTGTTTTCCAACAGCAGCAGCATCACTTTGATTCCTCCGATTTTTTACACTTATTTAATAAAACTTTTTTTTGTCTGTTGCTTCTTCTTTATTGCTTTTCTTTGGTTCCTGCTCTGTTCTGCTTACTGCTATGTACTCATTTTTATTACATTTTTTTTGTGGCTGCGTGAAGGATGTCTGTATGTATTGAAAAGGGGGGGCTACTAAACAAATTCACATATATTTCAATTGGATTGCCATATACGTTTGAGTGTGTGTATGTGTGTGCGTGCCTGAGAGTGAGCGAACAAGAGTTTCGTTTCGTCGTAGTCATTTGTCACTGTGTGTGTGTGCGAGTATGTTTGATTATCATCATTTTTTTCCATTATATTTTCGCTATGTACACACATTTTTCACTAATTTAGCCTCGATTTTTTTACATCGAAATTCACAAATTGTTGTTTAGTATTTTTTTCATAATTGCCACATAAAAATATTTTTTCATATTGCTATAATGCCTTTGACCGAGTTGAGGTATTTTATATTTTTTTTTCACACTGTGCTATTGAATAATCGATTTTCCGTTTCGTCTTGGCATAGGCAGCACATACTGTCATCCACCACTTAAATCCAATTAGAGCAGTAGCAGCAAATGAAAATGAAGAATATTTTCCAAAAACTTTTCTTACTTGTTACTTATTTTTTTTTCATCGCCTATGCTGCAAACATATGTGCATGTATAATTTTGCTTATATGATTTGTGTGTGTGCAATGAGAGCGTATTCAACTTAAAATTAGAGAAATATTATTTTCTAATTAAGCGATTAAGTTATTGTAGTGATTTATTTAAATATATATTTTGTATTTGCTTTTCTTTTTTGTATTTTTTGCTTCTTGTGTTTAAACGATAACACGACGACGAGACGCGGGCGTTCTTACTTCACTCACGACTTTTACTTAAATGATGATTATACTTTATCAGAATGAGAGGCAAAAAGAAAATCGAAAATAGAATGCTTCTTCTTTCGCCAATTGGATTCCTAATATTCAGCGGGAACTAATAACATTCTCTCGGTTATTGGTTATTCACAACAGCCATATGTAATGATAACACAGCAAAAGTAGTGGTATCATTTTTTTATGATTTGGCATTACCTTTTCCACAGACACCAGCTTTTGTATGGCTCGCCCACAAAGTCTTAATGCTGCCAAATTTCATTAGTTCAACTACAAAATAAAAACACGTGCGTAGTCAAAACGTTTATTTCTCTGGTATCGGCAACAACGCCGAGTGTTTATTCAAGAATTATTGAATTTTAAATTAAAAAATTACCTAAAACACGTTGTTGTAACACCACAATTTTAAAATGGTAAGTTATTTATTAAAAATCATCAAAATCACAGGAAAATAATGTTATTTTCTCTCCGTGTTTCTTCTAGGCAGATGAAGTCAATCCTAAAGCTTTCCCATTGGCCGATGCCCAATTAACAGCTAAAATCATGAACCTTTTGCAACAGGCATTGAACTACAATCAATTGCGTAAAGGTGCCAACGAAGCTACCAAAACATTAAATCGTGGTTTGGCCGATATTATTGTGATGGCCGCTGATGCCGAACCCTTGGAAATTCTCTTGCATTTGCCCCTGCTGTGTGAAGATAAAAATGTTCCTTACGTCTTTGTACGTTCAAAACAGGCCTTGGGTCGTGCATGTGGTGTTTCGCGGCCAATCATTGCCTGTTCCGTCACCACAAATGAGGGATCTCAGCTAAAGTCTCAGATCACTTCTATTCAACAGGAAATCGAAAGACTTTTAGTTTAAGTTTTCATTATTACCCCCTTTTTTATAACTATATAGTATCCATGTAAAAGAGCATTTTGTAAGTTTACAAATTTTTATTCTTTAAAACTAATAGTGACAAATCCCCCTTATATACCACAACAACAAAAGAAAAAAAAACACTTATTTTGTACAAATAGTATAAAGAAAAACAAAAAATACTAAGAAAAATCCAAAAAAATAAAACAAAAAATCTATAAATTTAAATATTTAGACTTTAATTTTGTAATGAAGTTAGCAGGAGGAAAAATTAGAACCACGTTGGAGCCAAATGTAAACATTGTGAGATACTAATACAGTTCCAAATTGTTCTACTTATGTATGGTACTACCGCTGGGTTTACAAATTAAAAAAACGTGCTTTACAAACAACAACGTGTTTATCTAGAAAATGTGTATTGAATGTATTTTCATTAGTTGAATTATTATAGTACGGAATATTGATATTTAATTTACTCCTTTTACAAAATATAAAAAATTATCTTGAGTAAGATTCTTTAATATTTATTATCAGTGAGGTTCTTCAAATAAGGTAGATTATGTTTATATCTTAAGAGATTACCCCAAGTAATTTTTCTAAGATAACTGTCACCCAATTTAAGAAAAAGAAAAGAAACAATTCGTTAGTTTTTCAACATTAATATTAGATCAATCTGTAATCGCTGTGCCCTACTATAATCTAAATTATTTTGTTATAAAAACTTTAATACATTAAATTAGAACGGGAATTTACTATGAGTAGAATTATAATCGGACGGAATATTTGTATATGCACTTTTTATTGTAAATAGGGGCTGAAACTATGTCAAAACATTAGTCAATATTGGAAGTGTTCTGTTTATCCTTCGTAAACTGGAAATGTCTGCTTATTTATAGTCATATTGCTTGGAAAATGAAACTTGGGCTATATTGAAAATCTTGACCAAAGATGTTTTGTAGCCACCTAAAACTGGTTATTCCTAACTATTGATGGAAAATGCGTCTGGAACCATGTAGTTCATAATATAGTATGGGGCCTTTATATAAGTATTAAAACATACACCTAAAAAAATCCGGAATACCAATTTACCGTCAGATATGTAGTAAAACGCGGCTAATACCGACAACAAGGTGGTACTTTTATGGCGTAAACCTATATTGAACACTAGCATATTTCCGCTACTTAGTTAACGAATGTGGGAATTATTTTACCGACCATCCATATCTCAAAACTACACATCAATTCTGACCTCAGCAGAAATCTATCTCTATACTACATTTTATATCATTTATTACTCTTGTAAAACACATTTCCAAAAAAAGCCAAATTTCAAATATAGTTTCACTCAAATCCAAATTTAGTACCAGTTAGTGCTCGTTAATATAAATTTCCACAACTACCTACCTTAAGAATCATAATTACAAATTATCTTAATTCCAAATTTCAGGATTCCAAATTATATGAAATTTAGTACCATTTAATACCCATAAGTACAAATTGTCAAACCTACATCTATATTCTCAATACTACACCTCAACAATAATCTTATTTCCAAATTTATGTGTTCCAGCTTTATCGGTTCACCTAAATCCAAATTGTACCAAATATAGTACCATTTATCTATATATCGCTATCCTACAACTCGACGGTAAAATTAATTTCAAATTTCAGGATTCCAGCTTTATCCGTTCCACCAAATTCAAATTGTACCGTTTAGTACCTCTTAATATTGCATGCTACGAAATTGTAACAAATTTAGTACAAATTTCCAAACCTACATCTATACTCCTAATCCTACACTCCAACAATAATCTTATATACAAATTTCAGTGTACCAGCTCTATCGGTTTACCTAAATCCAAATTATACCAAATATTGTACCATTTAATCCTTTCGTACACATAGGTACGATTTTTCAAAACTATCTACATATCGCTATCCTACACTCCGACAGTAAAAATTACTTTCAAATTTCAGGACTGCAGCTTCATCCGTTTATCTAGATTAAAATTGTACCAAATTTAGTACAGTTTAGTACTTTTCGTATATACAAAACCATCTCCTTATATCGACCCTACTTCTCAACCTTAATTCGCATTCCAAATTTACGCAATGCTACGAAATTGTACCAGCTTTATTAAATTTTAGAAGTTTTCGGATACTTGTAGTTCGAATGTCCAAAAAAAACCTAGCTACATATATTCTAAACTCCATCAGTTTCCCTCAATCCAAATTTCAGAGATCTTTTAGTGCCGTTATAGTACGAATTTCCTAGAACCCAGACTTATTTGACACCTTCGGACTTTGGGTGACCCAAAATTCCTAGATTCCAACTTCAGCCGTTTCGTCTGGGGGTTGAGGTATCGTTAAGTCAGTCAACCACTTTGCACTTTTATTGGTATAGATTTTCTGTAAATATTCCAAAATTGCATTAACATCGGTTAGAAAACGGAATTAAGACAAGATTTATTATTGCGACAATGTCAAAACATTCCAGAAAATTCGATTGAAATAATGATTCAAAAACATTCAAAATACCGAAAATGGGCGCTTCCGGTATGGGGTCTATACGTGCCGTGAACGATTTATTCCACTTTCAATACCGAAAATCCTAGGAATATCTTAACATTGCGATCTTAATTTCAAATGGGCACAGCATTTAAAAATGTACTTTCGACAAAAAAATCCCTTGAAGTTCACCTTCGTGACAAACAGCACCACGGTAAAAACCTTTGAACACTCACATCTCAGTAAATTTTTGATAAATTTTCCATGCAAAAGTCCTTTCCCGATGACATTATTTTCTGATTTTAAAGCCAATAACAAACATGCATGGCAACTTTAATATATACAGTGGTGGTCACAGAATTAAAACATTTACTGTGGTAAACATTTTTTGATGAGCCCTCGATTCGTTTGAAGTATTTTTGAAATTTTTTTAATTCAGAACACTTCGATATACTGCACTTAAGAGATTTAGTGTGAAAATGGAAAATTATTGCATGCAATTTTTCCATAAATAACGGTTTTTACGAAAATACGTCGGCTTTGAAGTGGCCATATAATTAAAACATTGTGTAATTTTTTACTTTACTACATTTTTTGCAAAATATTTTTAAAAAAGCTCTTTAATTTAGTTAAATTATGTAAACTAAGCACCGATAAAATCATTTACGATAAAAATTTTTGAAAAAAATTGTAAAATCTATCAAAATTGCCAATAATTTGTACAGAACACCCTACATTCAGAAAATAACCCTTATTATAGAAAATAAAGGTCCGAATGCACCAGAAATTGCTAGAATTAGTAGAAAACAATAAATAATTCTCAAAATAAATAAATATTTGAAATAAAAACTGAAAAAATAGGAATTAACCTAAAAGAACGACTCAATTTCGAAAGCCTTTATTGAAGAAGGCCCGAATATTTTTGCAGTATGTGAGGAAATATCGATTGATATTGGCATTTATTATACCAAATCGATTGTTCGAGTAGTACAGAATATATTTTATCAAAAAATATATCAGTCACACCAGAATGAACAGAGATCAACACTTATGTTGACGAGAAAACGTTTCTGGTACACAGCAGCATGTTTGATGGTTAACTCTTGACCCTTAAAATCTATTGAACATGACAATATTTTTCCAAAATAATATTTTTTGAATGGAATAATGCCTATTTAATCTATTTTAGCCCAAAAGAAAGAAAAAATTTACAATTTGACAAATATTTAAAGTCTTGTGTTGAGCATCAAAAATGCTGCTGTGTGGCAGAAACTTTTATTCGTCAACATAGGCGTTGATCTCTGTTCTTTCTGTTGTGACTTGTACATTTTTTGATAAAATATATTCTGTACTACTCGAACAATCGATTTGGTATAATAAATGCCAATATCAATCGAAATTTCCTTACATACTGCAAAAATATTCCTGCGTTCTTCAATAAAGGCTATAGAAATTGAGTCGTTCTTTTTGGTTAAATACCATTTTTTCAGTTTTTATTTCAAATATTTATTTATTCTGAGAATTATTTATAGTTTTCTACTAATTCTAGTAATTTCTGGTGCATTCGGAACTTTATTTTCTATAATAAGGGTTATTTTCTGAATGTAAGGTGTACTGTACAAATTTTTTGCGATTTTGATAGATTTTACAGATTTTTTCAAAAATTTTTGTCAATAAATGACTTTATCGATGCTTAGTTTACATAATTTAACTAAATTAAAGAGCTTTTTTAAAAATATTTTCAAAAAATACAGTAAAGTAAAAAATTACTCAATGTTTTAATTACGTGGCCACTTCAAAGTCGACGTATTTTCATAAAAACCGTTATTTATGGAAAAATTGCATGCAATGATTTTCTATTTTCACATTAAATCTCGAAGTGTTCTGAATTAAAAAAATTTTGAAAAATACTTCAAACGAATCGAGGGCTCATCAAAAAATGTTTACCACAGTAAATGTTTTAATTCTGTGACCACCACTGTAAGTATTTAAATATAAATTCAAACCCCACCAAATATTTATCCTTTTTAATCCCCTCTTATTAAATAATAGACAACAACATATATTTATTTATTTTTTTAAATCTATATATGATTTGTTTTTATTTCAGTTTTTCATGTTATTTTATTTGTTTTTGTTGTTGTTCTTGTTTATTTTATTAATAATTTATATTTTAATATGTGTCTCAATAACATTGTTGTTGTATTTATTTTAAAGATTTGTTGTATGTGTGTATGTATGTATATATATGCTTTCTTCTGTAAGTTGAAGATTTTTATACTTTTGTATCCAGTTTTTACTTTTACTTTTTTTGTTTAGAATATTTAACTACATACAAATAATTTCCAAAAAAATATGATATTAGATCAAACAAATTTTCATTTCGTGTATATGTAAAGTGTATGTCTGCCTGTGTCGTGTGAAATATGTACCTTCGTTTCTTATCGGATTTACCAAGAGCTAAGATCAAGCTGATGATGATAATTATTTATTGTTTACTTGCTGTTTTTGTTTGTTTCCAAAGATACCTTTGTTATTGTAATTTAATAATAGTTAATTTTTTGTTTTTTACTATATATGTTTATTACAAAACAAAGGGAAAAAAGAATGTACAGTAACATTTAGAGTGAAGTAACTATGTTATCATTTTTACTACATTATCCATATGTGGTACTTGTTGTTGTTGTTGAAGTTTTATCTAGTCAGTTTGAACTCTTCTTTCCTGTTTGGTAAATCCAATGTTGTTGACTTATCTGTGATAAGAATGTGTTTGTGGGTTTTCGTTTCTTATTGTTGTGGTGTTTCTTTTTAATCCTCTGATTTTCTAGTATTTTTTGTTTTTTCTTTTTGGAGATTGATTGATTAATTTCTTTAGTTATTGTAGTTATTTGCCGTTTTACTGCAGCAAATTTTGCAGTTTTGCACATGCGATCTGTTTTTGTTTGTTTAGTTTTCCGTGCTTTGTTTCTTTTTTTTTTGTTTTTCATTTTTTGTATTAATTTAATTTTACATACAATACGCAGGGGGGAACTATCAAAGTGGAAGTATGGTAGAAAATAAAGAAAGATAACATAACATCATCGTGAAGAACGAATAATAATAAAAATAATAATACAATTAAAATATTTGTTTAATAATAATAATAAAAACACGTTAAGCAGGAATAACATAATAAAATTCCACAACAAAACCGGACTTGGACGTCGTAGGGGCATATAACCTATTTCTTGTTTCTGTAGAGACATACAATCAAATGCATGGAATACAAAAACAAAGAGAAAGAGAGAAAAAAATACACATTAGTTAAGTTTGTTTTTGAATATTTTCGATATGATCATAAATATGACATACAACATTTTCACATTTTTTATTAAAGTATCAAATTTCATTCGATAACTTTTAAAGTGAAGAATATTGTTGTAGTATTTATCATTATGTTTATCTATTATCCAATATTAAAAGAATTACCTAATTGCTCTATCCATAATATTGTTGATGCGTGTTTCCGAATATCCCGGTACCAGTTTATGTATGATTTCTTTTAGAAACAGGTCACTTACACCAGGACGACTACGTTCGGCCAATTCGAATACCGATTTCAAATCGCCTATATCCAATACATTCAAATTCTTATTGGAATTACTGCTATATTTACGTTGAATCTGAAATAAAAAAATATTATTTTAATATAAAATTTCCCTATGATATTATGCGGTGCAACTTACATCAGTGAGTATAGGAAAAAGAAAATTATTAAGACAGGCACTGTTAGTGTGTGCCACACGACTACCACCGCTGCTGCTGCCACCGCCAATATTTGTTGAGGAATTACTCTTATGATTTGTATTGGATGATGTAGGTGAAAGGGAGGCCGATTCGTGGTTTATAAAATCGGCTGAGCCTGCATGGGAGTTACCATTGTAAACATTGCCCATACTACTGCTGGTGGCCAGCATATGACCACCACCACTGCTGGATGGTGTTACAGCCACCGAGGAAATAGAAGCTGCCATAGTACTGCGCCGCAGGGATCTCTCCTCATCGTCGTCTCGGTGTTGCTGTTGTTTACCATGATCCATTAACTGCAACTGAATCAATAATTAAAGACAATTTCATTCGATTTAATTTCATTTATAAAACTCACCGATGATCGTCTTTCAATATCTGCATCCAGAGATGTGGTACGAGTAGGTCTCAAACTAACCTTTTGTTGTTCTTTAAAGTTAGTGCTCGATGAGCTGGACATAACTCCCGCCTTGCTGGAACTCTCCAACAAATTGCCAGTTGAGGACATTAACTGTTTATGTTGCGAGGAAGAATTGGCATTGGACGACAACGGTGATGACGAGGAGGAAGCAGAGGAGGAGCTATTGTTTGATACTTGATGATGGGAATGCTGTGCTGGGTGATGGAGTAGATGGTGATTCGTGTGATCACGGGTATTGATCGAAGCTGCCGCATTAGAGGACGTAATAGTTGTGACCGATGAAGACGGGCCGGAAGCGACTGCAGAAGACGAGGCTGCTGCTGATGTTGCCGCCATACTGTCACGCTTGTTTTGAGACGTTGATTGAACGGAGGAGGATGATGATGAGGAAGAGGCGCCTACCTGGGAATGATGCTTGCTGCCATGGTGCGACAGTGGTGTCAATGTATCCATACCATGGGCCAGTTTATCCATTTTCAGTTCATGTTCATCCAGTCTATTGAAATGGTTATTAGTTATTGCCTTGTGTGGAGAGGTGGCCTCATTTCCAAAATGAGCCCCTTTCACAGTCATAATCCATGGTTCGTCATTATTGCAGCCCGGTTTGGAGTCATCACTGAAAGCAAAAAACGAAACATTAGTTTGCTTTAATTTTCCCCCATGTTTAATAGCAATGACTTACGAATCGGAATTCTCAGATTCTGTTTCACTTTCATCACCCTTTTGTAATTTCCATTTCTTGTAACGGTCTATCAGATCGATAAGGTACGAATTTTTCTTAGCTTTTTTAATAAAAGGATACTTGAGTAATTCCTTTGCAGTAGGACGCTAAAACGAACGAAAGTAATTATAACCTTTAAACACAATTTCCTCGTGGTTATACACTCACATTCTCTGGATCCTTGTTAAGGCACGCTTCAACAAAATCTTTAAAAGATTTCGTATAATTTCCCGTCAATTGTGGCGGATTATTTTTGGGTATAAGGAATAAGACACGCATAGGATGCAATTCAGAGTTGGGAGGTTCACCCTTAGCCAACTCAATGGCCGTTATTCCCAGCGACCAAATGTCAGCTTTGGAATCGTACATGGACTGTTTAATAACCTCTGGTGCCATCCAAAATGGTGTACCGACAAATGTATTGCGTTTTGATGTGGTGTTCGTCAACTGGCCGGCTACACCAAAATCGGCCAATTTCACATCGCCCATTTCGCTCAAGAGGACATTGGCAGCTTTTATGTCTCGATGTAGTTTCCTTTCTGAATGCAAATAGTCCAGACCCTTGAGAACTTCACGTAATATTATGGCTATGTGCATTTCTTCGAAAGAACCCGCCTTCATTAGATCCAATGCCGAACCGCCGCCCAAATACTCCATGATAATCCATAGTTTGGTTCCCTTGAGAAACGAACCAAAGTATTTGGTAACAAATGGCGAGTCGCACTGCGACAACACCATAATCTCCTGTTGTATATCTTCGATTTCATCTTCAGCCTCTTCCAAGTCAATAATTTTTATGGCCACCACCTATAACACAAAAAAGAAATGAATAAATGTTATATAGCTATACACGTTGTCTTGTTTATTTGGCTCACCTGTTGAGTACGATTGTCAATGCCTTTGAAAACTTCACCAAATGATCCTTTACCGATGCGTTCCTGTTTTGTGAAGATTAACTCCGGATCGACCTTTTGCTGCAATTTTTTGGAGAAAAACAAAAACGAGAGGGTGTTATTCATTTGTTAAAGGCATATCTGTTTTTGTTATTTTCCATTATTTTTGGTGTGCTGTCGTCGTTGTTGTTGGTGTTGCCAGGTATGTGTGTGTCTCTGCTTTGTGAGCACTTCGGCTCTTACGCTGCATTTTTCAGCTATAAATGTGATTTGTAAGACATCGAAGCAAATGAAAAATTAATTTCGAAAGAATGTGGTTGAAAAAAAGTGGCAACAGAAACAACAAGAACAGCAACAATTGCGATAAAGTAAAAACAAATAGTGATTGATGATCTCATTTGTTTTGGTGTCGATGGTCCCGGTCGGTATATGTGTAGAAATGGGAGAGCAAGGGAAACCCTTATCTATGGCCATAAAGTTTCATAAAGATATGCGCTCAAGGGTTTTTCATTTTTGCCCATAAATGGTAAGGAAAATCGTTCGCTCAGTACTTACCTCTGTCCACGACATGGTGGGCAGATAATGATGTCGGTGGCAATGTGTTGTTGTCTGTCTAACGCTGCACTCGACTTGACAAGTACTACTACCTCCTTTGGTGCTGGAGCTGGTGACTGCTGCAACAATTGGCAGCTATGGTTTCCTCTTCCGCCTTTTGCGGGTGATGCAGCAACAAATGCAAACAACAAAACAAGACACTTCTTTTCCCTTAAAAGTAACAATGATCCACTACAAGACGGCGACTATAACTTCCGTAAACATCAGCAGCAGCAGCGATAGTAAAAAAGCCACAAACTCTAAGCACACACCTCACTCTCTCACTCACACAGTCACACGCACACGAAAGCAGATTTCAAATCGTTTTACTCGATCAGGAGGAGGAAAGGTGTGAGGCAAACGAACATTGGTTTACGGGGTCTAAGACGGCCGTAAGAGAGGGAGTGTACACTGATGACGATAGTAATGATGATCGTGGGATCCCCTTTTTTGTGGACACTCCACCACCACTGCCGCCGCTACGCAGCACACAGAGAGCAGTCTGTTTGGAAAATTGGGACTACAACGGGAACCCACGAACACGTCCTCTCCACTTCTTATGTAGCACTGTGTCGGATTGTCTTGTGCCACTTCTTACTCGTCGTCGTTATTGTTGTTTCGCAACTTCGCGCTGCTTGCATTCACACCAGAAATATATGTATTTTTTAGCTTTGCTTCTACCTCTTCTACTCGCTCAATGACTGACTACTGCTACGTTTACAATTAGCGCTGCGACTGTCAATCTGTGTCTTTTACGCTGCTGTTCCGCTGCGCTCCTCGGCCCAGACTGTTGTGGCCCTTACTGTTTATTACTGACTTGACGGCTTGTTTCTGGCAATGATTCCCTATTTCGAATCGAATACAACACCAACTTCCAAATGTGACTTCTTTTGTTTGCCGATTTTCCTTCTTGTGTTCACATCTATTATTCGTTCTTCGTCTTTCTTGTTTTCAGTACGCCTTATGCATACAAATTGGAATTTAATAATATAGAAAAAAGGTGTAGAAAACAACTTGGAATTCTTTTTCTAATCTGTGTCGAAAGACAAATAGATCTTGTTTTACCACTTCTTTTTTGCCTATTTCATTCAATCGACTTGCTTTGTTTTCAATTTATTATCGTCTCTGTTTCTGTTTGTTTGTTCTCTTGCTCACGTTCGTCCGTGGTTCTCTGCTGTTTTGCTGCTCGCTCGCTCTCTCTCTCTCTCACACAGATGACAGGTTAAACTTTCTTTTTTTCAACGTTTCAGATTTTTTCGCAGATTAGATTTGCTATTTTAACTTTTTCCCAGAACTTTTCCGATAGTCGAAATGATAAAAATTATATAGCCATAAATTTTATATTACGAAAAATATAAAACTATCCGATTTAATTAACAAATAATCATGCTCGTTATGTAAATAAGCAATAATAACTATCCGAGATGTTTTTCTTCGATTCTCTAATATTTTTCTTTTTTTATTTAAGATGATTGATATACGAAAGCTAACTGCTGTGGAATGACAAATGTCAAAACAAACTGAGTGGGAAAACATATGTGAGTACAATTTGTCTCAGTCAATGACAGCTGTTTTGGATTAGAGTTGCAATTTAGCCGTTATAAAATAATTTATGAGAATTCTTTTTTATTTTTATAATTCGAATAGACTATAAAAGTTATGCTTATTATAAGTTTAATAATATATTGTTCTATCAATGGATATTTTCTGTTATATGGCCGTCATCATTACTTAATATGGTTTATTTTAATAAACGTCTAATTCACAATTTTCAGCTTTTATATACATATGTTTTAAATGAAACATATACCATTGGTTTAAGGAGAAACATATAGAAGAACTACATAGTTGAGGCTATTGATATATTCTTCCTCAGCGGTACTAGGGAGATCATTGAAAGTGGTTCCATAATGGCGCGTTTGGACTAAATCTTCTAAACCGAGGTACTAGATCCTAGCTTTTTAGACTAGCACTGAGATGATAAAAATTAAATCAGCTGATAATTGATTAAGTACACATTTCTATTTCAAAGTAGCAGAAAAATATTTTCATAAATCCAATTTAGATTTGGGATTTTAAAATAAATAAACACTTTCTAGAGGGAGTGAAACATTTTCGGGGAAAATAGTGTTTTTTTCTCTCGATTATGCAAAGGATTTTCATCAAGTCGAGATGTGTGTATTTAATTGAGTTAGCAATTAAATATATAAAAGCTATAGACGAAACGCGCCCTAAGAAATAAAGAGTCCCAACAGCATGACATAACATTTCCTCGAATAAAAGTCGAGTCTCAAATGTCATCTCGATCTCAAATGTCATTCCATATCGTATGCTTCAAATATAATTCACTGGATTTCTAAACATGATTAAGGAATCGACATTTGAATTCGACAATTTTTTTTATGCCAAAGTTATATATAAAATGTGTGAAATGTGTTTTGAAAAATTTAGAAAAATGGTCTGTTCCCGTACTGCAAGAATCTACTCGATTTTACTATTTTCTTCGATATCATAAAGGAAAAAAGTGCTATCGGAGTAAAAAATAGTAGATTCTTGCAGTACGGGAACAGACCAAAAGTATATTCGAAAATCGATTTGTTTGATGATGAACTCGATTTTGAAAAGAAAAACTGGTATTCCATTCATTTTTCGAGGTTTTGGTCAAATGCTAAAAAATGTTTCAATAGCAATGGCCTATTAATAGTGTTTCACAAAATCTTCAGGTTTTTTTAAAACCTGAATTTTAAGGAATTTGGTTGTGATTATATTGTTGCCAATCGCATTGATGCTATCGGTGTTATCATTTATCAGTGAATTAATAGTAAATTCCTCAACTGACGGCGGCAAGAGCGTCTGACTCTGTTATCAACCAATCAGCTGATTGACATTCATCCAATGCGCCTTTCTTTTGTTATCGGTGTTATGTATCACTCTCATTCGTAAACAAAGCATAATTCTCGGCATTTTTCACCTGTCTCCCTATTTCGCATTTTACTTTACACACGTTCGTTGTATTAATTCTATGTCGACTTCTTCCTATCATTTACAAGGATTCTTGTGATTCTAGACCATCAACAGTGATAGGAAAAAGCCCCCTCCTTGCAGAAGTGGTGCTCAGACAGACATTTTTGGTCATAAACAAAGTATTTGTTATTTGGAACGTTAAAATTTCGATGAAATGCCATCATTTTGTGCTGTGGTAAATTGCAATGATCGGTATGGACATTCGGAGAATATTTCCTTTCACAAGTAAGTGCGGGATAAATTTATCTTATTCATATTTATACGCATTGCCATATTTGCAGATTTCCTCTAAAACGAAAAGATCTACTGGTGCAGTGGGAGGGATTTATACAAAAGCAAAGAGGTCCCGATTGGCGGGCTTCACGTTGGAGTTCATTGTGTAGCCGACACTTTCGCGAAGATGATTTTCGTTCATTGAATGAACGTAAGACACTTAAAAAGACTGCTGTACCCACGATCTTGGATGTGGGTAATTATACGGAAGCACACAACAAAACAAAGCCAGCATGTGGAGGAAATGTACCAAGGGAAAATGAAAGCCAAAAGGATAAAGAATTTAAAGAAATTATGGCAATACGAGAGCAACTGGAAGATGTCGGAACAAGTGGTAGCACTAATATTGCCAAAACCAATTGTCGACTTTGTGGCATTAGTGCAATACCCGTGGTTACTTTTGCATCCAATTATGAGCTGTATGGTATGCTACAGAAATGTTTCCCCACCTTGAATATACAACAAGATGATGCATTCCCCAAAGTGTTGTGTTCCTCCTGCTATAAAAATCTACAACATTTTTGTGAATTCGTTGATATTGTGTGGGCAGCACAAACGGAGTTGCAGAAAAAATACAAACCCAAGGCGGTGGAGAAACCACCTCTGAAAATAAAACAGGAACCATTAGCAGTGCGTGTTAAGCAAGAAGTGGCGGAGGTGGGCTATGATCAGCAACAAGAGTTGGGTGCAAATGATGAATATGATGTTATGGCCGATGGCCAGCATGATGAGGCTGAGGGCGGTGAAGCTGTAGACCAAAAATTTGAATTTTGTGATTTTCCCATCAATGATTGTGACATTATGGAAATTATTAATTTGGACGATCCGTTTATAAATATACCCGACGATGATAACAATACCATTGTGAATGAGGGTGAAGAGTGTCCGAAACGAGTTAATGAACAACGCGCAAGTCATATGCCCACGGCACATGAACTGTTGCAGGTCCATCTGTTAATGGATGAACATAATTATGCTTATGTGGATACAGATGATTTTAAGGAGGAGCAACAAGTATACAAGACTGAGAAATCTGATGGTGATGAAAGGGCTTTTGTGGATCAATCTAATTTAGCTACTGAAAATCTTGTCAGAGAAAATAACATTTTATATAAAGATGCTGGGCATAATTACATTCCAGATCAATCTTACACCGAAGCAAACTCCTTTGAGAATCGTGCTTTGAAGCCCATTGTAACATCGGTCAGTGCAATACAACAACCCACGAATAAGGGAAATGGTATTGTTGTACTCAATGAGAGCATTGTTAAATCGGGAGCTGGAGGTTGCCATTTACATTCATGCATGGTTTGCCATTTAAAGTTTTTCTCTGTGGAAAATCTCAAAGAACATTATACCCAAACACATGGTACTCCCATGGTGACAGTGCCGGCCAGTAATATATTGGTAGAAAGAAATAGCACTGAGAGTAAATGTCACATGAAAACGGAAGTTATTGAAAATTTGGAATTGAGTAGTGCAAAGGATGTTGCTGCATGTCCCCCAGAAGAGTTGCCTAAAGACGCTAGTGAAAGTAATGAAAATCAAAAAGACATGGCAACAGAAGAGAGAGATATTGAAATGCTTGAAAAGTTGAAAAATAATTTTAAAACACGCCGAAGAGAAGTGAAGAAAGATAAAGTGCCACAAATAAATCCCAGACAAACAAATTATCGACGTCGTAATATTGCCAAGAAAAATCCGCACAAAATCTCCCTCAATACCATGGCTAATCAATATCAACAGTTGAGAAAACTCTATCAGACATTACAAAAGAAATGTTTAAATTTAGAACAAAATGTTGAACAACTGCAGCTGCAACCAATAACAAAAATCCACAGAACAATTAAAGAAAAGCGAAAATCTAAAATTTCGAGTAGTTTAGAAACAACAACAACGAAACACATACCTTCAAATCCAACCGAAAATAAAAACTTTTCCTGTCCGGTGTGTTCAAAAATATTTCCAAATTCGAATAGTTTACGCCAGCATAGTATAACACACACCGAAGAACGAAAACATATATGCAGTTTATGTCAGCGATCTTTTAAGCGCCGCAATGGCCTGCTGCAGCATCTTAAGGGATTCCATCTACAAGTTAAACCGTTTACATGTCAAGTGTGTAAACATAGTTATGCTCTGAAATGTGATATGTTGCGTTGTAAACATTCTGCCCTGAAGGCCAGTGTTTTATTAAATAAGTGTACATAAATTAGACTCTTAGGATTAGTGAACAAATAAAATAATATAATTAAGCAACTAAATAAATTATTTAACAATAAAAATATTAAGCTATTAAGCAAATGAAATGTGGAAAGCGCAAATTTCAAAATGTTGCCTTATTCAAACTGCAATTGGCTTTTTAAAATGCAGCTAATATACACATCAATAAAGCAACATATCAAGTCAGCAGAATGTACCTGTAAGAACATATTCAACTTCAACACTCACTTAAGAACTTGAACATCTGTATGGGCTGTAAGTATTTTTTTTGTATTCTGTGTAGATCTTGTTTAGAAATTAGATTTTAAAATTTGATTTCTTTATGTAGTTGTAGTAGAAGGAAAGTCTTTAATATTTTAGGAATTATAAATGAATTAGAAATATATTTTACCCATTCTGCAAAAGGTTTCCATAATCTAACACGAAACGGAATTTGTTGACCTTTTTAAAATAATTTCTAATATTTTCCGAATGCACTGTTAGAGTAAGGCTTTGGTCATAACTATATGTTACAACATGCATACATCAAAGGCAAATCTGTGAATACTGCCTTACATGAGGTGTTCGGACACATCGAGCTGATGACAGTCAAATATTAACGTTTGAAGTGGACTAAACACTACCGACACATCAGGACACAATTTCAAAATAGAGTTTCGAGACCTAACCTCACAGTCGTTATGTTTTTTTTTTTCTGAATAAAACATTTTTACATTATCTGCTAGTAGATCCAAATTATCTCTCATAGTTGTTTCATATCATAAAATTGTTAAATATGGTATCTGTACACTTGTTTTCGCATTCTTGGCCCAAATCGATTAGATATCATTTGAAGAGTCTTCGTAATAACAATGTTTTTTATTTGTACATACATACATATGTATGCGGTTCAATGTATTCAATTGCCAGTAAGGAATCCCCGTTCGTCATTCGCAACAATTCAATGCTGATTAATTGTTGTTATAATATTTTATTGGATATGATTATCTGATAACGAATTCTGTGAAATGACAACATTTAAAGAAAGAAAAAAAGAAAAATTCTACCTATTTATGAGGTAAATTTTATTTTTAATCTGCTATCTTTATTACATACACGGTTACGTTGGAAGTGTAGTGGAAGTTTTGTTGTTTTGTTTTTGGCCCAAGAGTTTTTAACACCACGAAATAGTTTAGTATATTGATCATCAAAGGAATGTGTGTCCGCTCGACTCTCAGCTATCAATTGTAATGAAACTAAATGCTGCATTTTGAATTATCATCTTTAAAATAGTTTTGGGGGTTCGGGTTCGGTCATAGATTATATTTGTTAATCGGTTTACCATCTATTGAAACTGTGGCGGTGCCTTGTATGTGGGTAGAGGTCAGATACTTTGAATGGGATGCCTTACAAAATTCATGGTTATATGATTTTCGCCACAACTGACGTCCTACCTCCTTTTTTAAGCCATTGGCACCGACGACGTTGTTGTTGTGACAGGTTGACTGTTGGTGAAAGGTCCAGGGGTGCTCGGGCATTGACCAGCTGAACGGCGTCAAACAAGATCAACATCATGCAAAATTTGATAAATTTAAAAAAGACACTCGGAAACATTTTCCATTGCGGTGTTCAAAATACCAAATGCAAATACTGCAGTAGTGTTATAAGCATAACTAGGGCTACAGTAAATAATTTGAAGCGAAATTTAAAAGAATATCACCCATTTGCTTTAGTTGACTCCCAAAGACAGTCGGTAGAAGGGAGTTGGAAACCCCGGAAGAAGTGACACAGGTGTCCGGAGCAACAACTGTAGTGCAAACAAATGTGCGGTCAAATATTGGGAAAGATCAAAGATCAATTGATTAGGAAAAGATCATCATTCTTTGCGGTTGATGGAACTGGCAGCTTAAATGCAATACCATTTGAACGATATAAGGCAACCATTTGACCATTTGAACGATATAAGGCAACTGAGCGAGGTGAACGACCTAGTTCAATTTTAAACCAGTGAGCGGAGCAGTATAGTCGGACGGGGCCGACCATACGATACCCTACACAACTACCACGGAACTCAAATTTTCTGCGGATGTTTATTCCGAGCCTGGGCAATATTTCGTGATATTTGCACCCTCTTGCCCGATAGAGGTAAACAGCACCTCTTCCTCACACTGACACATTACGAGTATTCAATACAGCTATTGTCAAGATTTCCTTCACCGTGGGTTGTGTTTTGATGTTCGGCTTACATTTGTGGTCTATAGATCGACTCGAAAATAACACAAAAAATTAAGTTTTCGGTGCAATTCATTCCAAAATTATTATCTGATCATCACCGAAATTTAGAGGCGTTGTCCTTGACCATACCCGGAACCTCATGGAACATTTCAAACGATCAACGCTATAGTTCCGCTCTCTAGAGTGATAATGGGTTACTAAATAATATACGAATACGGAGATACTTGTAAATATTTAGGTGTAACTCTCACATCCGAGCACATACAATAATATAATTGGTCTTAATTTAAAGGTCAACCACTCCTCTTGGATATAATATCAACTTCGCGGGCATATGTCCTTCAGGGGTAAACATATACGCCATAGAATTCAAATTTTGTCATTTTTCACACAAAAGTCAGGGTCCATTTGACCCGCTAAATATTGACCGATCTTTATCAAAAGAGGCATGCTTATTCTTTGGCCCGACCTCCTTCTCCATGCAAAATTTCACGATGTTCGGGCCATTATTGCGGCCTGTGGAGCGACCAGAAAAACCGACAAAAATTTGGTATTTGGTCCATTTCATCCCCTAAATATTAACCGATCTTTCCCAAAAACAATAGGGGTCTTCATTGGCCAGAACCCATCCTACATGCAAAATTTCGTGAAGATTGGTCCATAACTGTGGCCTGTATCGTGTTTACAAATTATAATGGACAGACGGACGGACGGACACACATGTCTAGATCGACTCAGCTAGTCGAGATATGACGATCGGTATACTTAAAGGTGGGTCTAGGACCAATATTTCGCGGCGCTTTTGGGGCTGCACAAAGCTATAATACCCTGACAACATAGTTGTGTAGGGTATAAAAATTAACTAGTTTGTTCGATCACTGTACAGAACGAGATTGTCCAAGGCTAGTGTGTGTTGTGAGTGCTTTGCTGGCAGGAAGGACACCTTTTTAGGATTCTTGGGACAATGCGTTCCCGATACGAATTGAGAACAGTCCTGAATCCGGACCTTAGTTGTGCCAGAATCGAACGGGTTTGCGTAGGAAGAAGCCTCTCACTGTCCGAAATTGCAGGAGGATGTTGGAGTAGGACTTTGTTGCATTTGTACCAATTTATGGCTTCGGAGACAGCCAGTTGATGCACGGATTTCATCGCGTTCGCGATCGATAATCTGTTGACGTCCGATGGAATGACAAACCGAATTTCTATAGTCATCGAAATTACCTCTTATCTACCTCCTCATACTTTCTTGTTTAGCTTCTTATCTTTTCCTTTTCTCTCCTACGGATCTCTCCATATTTTCATGGATGATCACAATGGACCAGTTGGACTCAGAGTGCAGCAGCCACATTAGCGATTGCACATTCCCAAACCTAACCTATTCAACCTCATTATACCCCCATATGTATTGCATATGAAAATTGTCATTTTGCTTGGAACATCTTGAACATGAATATATTCTTAATCAGAAAATTGTCGACTTAGCCATGTCGGTCCATCTATCTTTCGATATTACAATAGAGAACCTAATATTTAAGATATAGCTCACATAGGTTCCTACTACTGCTAGCATGTTTTTGGTTTTGAAAAAGAGTCCTCCATATAACGGCACCACCACATATTTGGTATGTTGAAGATTTTCGTCGCATTTTCAGGTACGGTCCCATTTTAGCTGCAATTTGATATTTCGGGTTCTTGGTTGGATTAAACAATTCTTCACCAAACATTTTCATGTTGTGACATAGCTCACATATAAAGATCACGTCTTCTTTTTGTTATCTTCAAGCGCCAGGGGCATTTTCTCACTGAAGTGGCTTTCATTTGGTATTTCAGGTACTTCATGTGTATAAAACATTATTCCCTATTGAAATTGGGAAAAATCCATAGATTGTTTCGTCCATAAAATGGGGCACCAAAGCTATAAAATATGGCCGATTGGCAAAAATTTTTTCACAACGTACAGAAGTTGGTATAACATATTGTGTGTAATGTTTCGTTGAAATCGGTTAAGATTTAGATATAGGTCGGTTTACATACAAATGGATATTGCATTATTAAGTTCGTCCAATGTCATGTCGAATGTTTTTTGAAAAATCCGACGTATGTAAGGACCCATCTGTTGAATATTCCCAAAGTGGTCAAGGGTATCATATAGTCGGCCCCGTTCACAGAATTTGATTCAAAAATTCTCTGTTAATGGGTAAACGCTTCTTCTTCTTGATTTTGGTAATTATTCAAGTTGATTTGAAATTTCTACTTGTCTTGGAGACTAAGTTTTCATTTGCGAACAATTCAGAACCATTTGAACACTGACTCTTAGATGTCGCTTATCTTTGGCACTTCTTTCATATTTCATCGTTGACTTGATTATTTTTTTTCTACGTATTGGGGTTTCAATGAAATTTAACAATTACATTTATTGTTTTTAATAGCGATCAAGTGCTGATTAATTATTTATGATACTTCATTGGTCGACAAGAAATTGAAAAAAATTACACAAAATATTTCCTTTTAATAAATATGATTTAAGTAGCAACAAGAAATGTTCAATTGCAGACATTTCAATAATATATAAATTAAATTGCACAAACTGTCTTCCAAGAAGCTATTGAATACTTAATATACCACATCATATTCGTCATTAGTTGTCTAATAATTTGTTTTTATCAGTAGACTTTTTAAAAACTCTATTCAGCTTTGCCTTAAAGAAAGTTGTTTTGAAAATGCCAAAGAAGGGAATGATTACTCAAAAAATTGTCACAAATCTTAAATATTCC